ACAACACCAAAGATCTTATTTAGTTTTTGAGAAAACTAAATATGACAGAAAATTTCCCCCAAAAAATAATTATTTCACCTCATTTTTGGAGTTAAAACTTTAATAAATCAGGCTTTGAATTAACCTGTTACCACCCGCCTCATTTTGGTGTGTGCACAATGGTAAGACATACCCAAATGCCATAGCTTATTAAAAGAAAACCTTAGAACCCACATGCTTGTGTGAGGCACCATTTTAAAGCTTAGGCCTTTTAGTTTCTGTAGATATGTACATGAAGACTGTGAGTGCTGCCTAACCTACAGTACAGTCAATTAAAATTGAAAAAAAATTGTATTTTTTTGCTTCGAAAAAAAAAATATAGAAAAAAATAAAGGCCTTAGCTTGGTCATACTTCATGCTAGGCATTTGTGACTCACTACACTCATTGTTCAAGTTGTTGGCAACAACTGTGTAGAATTTCAGATCTCTAGGACAAAGGGTTTTGATGCTGTGAGCCTTTGTGTAAACAAAATGACAATTCGGCACAAGATTGCCAAATTTGTGCCAAAATAATAATAATAATATAAATAATAATAATCATTGTTATTATTATAATACTAATTCTTCTGAGCTTTAGGCATGTTTTCTCAAGAAAAAAAACTAAAAGTAGCCAAAATTGTCTTCCAAGTGGCTGTTCTGCTACTACTACTGCTGCTCTCTGTGTCTCTCTCCTGTTCCTCTCGGCTGCGCGTATAAACCAAGCCCCCAGGTTCCAAAATGGCCGCCCATTCAAGTCAATGGGCTGAGCTCAATGGCGCATGATCCCAGATTAGCCTAGCATGGCTAGGTACTTCCGGTGGCTGTGGGCCGACCGAGCATGCGCAGTAGTGCTCTTTTCTCCCACGGGCACACGCGAATGCACGCGACCACACGCACGGAGCGCGGGCTCGTGTATCACGTGATCGCTTTGACCAATCAGAGCGAGAGGAACGAGAGCGGAGCCGGAGCTAACGAATATAAAGCGTTTTTTTTAAGACAACTGAAGGATTTTGAGCGAGAAAAAGTTTATGATCTAAAAATAGGTAAAAATCGCCACAAAATCCGACTTTTTTGAAAGTTGTAGGTGCCCTGTCAGCCGAACACGAGCAGGTTGTGATTACATTGCCTCTATGAGAAAAATCTTCTTTCGGCCCATGGGATTTTTTCGACTGTAGAACCACTGAGTGACACTACGTCAACTCGAGGCAGCGACAAGCAGCAAAACTGTATCCAGTTATTTTAATAGATCCATGGTATAAACACAGGGTCCGTTTCCAATACAATCTGAATGTCCCACCCACCGTTTGAAAGCTCTGGTGATTGGCTAAAACAATATGTCAATCACTTTCTGGAAGATCCAATGACTGAAGAGATTTCCCGTAAACAAACTGATGACGCGTGCGTAAAGCCAGGAAGTACGTGAGTGCGTTAGTTTCTTCAGCGGCTTGTCCCACCTAAACCCCGCCACCGACAACAGCGGGGAGGGTCTCATTTTGAAGCTAAGAGTGTGAGGAAAACAAGCGCACCCAAGAGCGGGAGAGAAAGGGAAGTGAGAGCGGGAGAAGAGGCGGAGAAGAGACAGAATATTTTCATTCACGGATTCATCCACTCATACGGACGACGATTTTCTGGATTATTTCCCCACATGGAATTATTTTTTGGAAAAACAACTTGATATTCTTTTTCTGTGGATTATTACGGATTTATTGAGTACAACTTTTCATGGATTGAACGCGTTTTGGACCGACAGAACCGCTCAAAGGTAAGAAACGCGTATCTTATTCTTTGTTTATGATGTGAATTTTTAAATTCACATAAATTCGGGCTCGTTGTACGGCATAAAATGAATGATATGGTTGTTTTATTGATAAATTAAGCTTTCAAACGATGTATGGCCAGTAGTGAAAACAATAATGAAGGTGAATATACAGAGTGAACATTTTTTATTGGAAAATCGCCCGCCGGCGGGTGGATGGATGGTAAGTGGTTTTAAATAACAAAAAATCCATGAGCCTTTACTAGTCTATGTATGTTTTTTATTTATTTATTTTTTGTTTTTTTTTGTTTACTTTACTGTTTTAGTTTTAAATTATTGATATTTGTGAAAAATGACTCTTAGTATTAATTAATATCAGATTTTCTACATGAGACACGGACAGAGAATCTGAATCTGTGTCGCTCGATTGTTTTTTAAAATAAAACCAAAAATAAGAAAACTAAAAAAAACATTATTTGTCTCCAAAACCAAAATGAAAAAACAGATCATGATTTGTTTTTTCATTTTTCAATTTTGTGTTTAAATGAAAAATGAAAAAAAAAAAACGGATAACGGACTAAACCAGGACTAAACCAGGTCTGGAACCTGACCGAGACTGAGATCAGGACTTAGACCGGGAACAGGACCAGGACTAGGACCAGGACCAGACCATGATTGAGACCGGGATCAGACCAGGACTGAGACCGGGACTGAGATCAAGACTTACACTAGGACCAGACCAAGACTGAGACCAGAACTAGGACCAGGACTGAGACTGGGACTGAGACCAGGACTGAGACAAGGATTGAGACGGGGACCAGGACTGAAACTGGGACCAGGACCAAGACCAGGACTGAGACCAGGACCAGACTGTAACTGAGACCGAGACCAGACCAGGACTGAGACCAGGACTGAGACCGGGACCAGACCATCACCAGACTGGGACTGAGACCAGGACAATACTGTGACTGCGACCGGGAATGAGGTCGGGACCAGACTGGAACTGAGACTAGGACCAGACTGGAACTGAGACCGAGATCAGATCAGGACTGAGATCAGGTCCAGACTGAGACTGAGACCAGGACTGAGACCGGGACCAGACCAGGACCAGACTGAGACTGAGACCAGAACCGGGACCAGACCGGGACTGAGATCAGGACTTAAGACTAGGACCAAACTGGAACTGAGACCGGGACCAGACCTGGACCAAACCGGGACCAGACCAGGACCAGACCGGGACTGAGACTGGGACCAGACCTGGACCAAACCGGGACTGAGGCCGGGACCAGACCAAAACCAGACCGGGACCAGACTAGTCCTGGTTCAGTCCGTCATCCGTTTTTTCCATTTTTCATTTAAAAACAAAATTGAAAACTGAAAAAGTGAATCATTATGAGTTTTATTCATTTTGGTTTTGGAGACAAATAATGAAGAAAACTGTTTTTTTTTGTTTGTTTGTTTGTTTTCTTATTTTTGGTTTTATTTTGAAAAACAAAGGAGTGAGACACAGATTCGTCTCACACACCGGTGTGTTTCAGAACATGTTTACACTCGTCTGAGGGTTAAACTCTTTAAATCCTGGAGGAGAGTCACGTCTGGGGGCGACATTCACAACCAGAAGAGCAGGTTTTAAATGAGTCTTATGTAATTTTGGTCGTTATTTGTTATTTTTTTAATGAATATCAAACGATTTATTGAACAATCCCTGAGAACCGGAGCGACCTGATCTCCCACAATCCTCTCTGTTCTGTTTGCTCGGGCTCGTCCGATTAAAGGGCCGTGTGCAGAAGTGAAGAGCCGTGTGCAGAAGTGAAGAGCCGTGTGCAAACGTCGTCGTCTCACTGGGCGCGGCTCGTCTCGTGTGACGGAGCGAGAGTGAAGCTCCGCGGACGAGGGGGAGTAACAGATTACATGTACCGGAGTAAAGTAATCAGAGTACAAATGATGAGTAACTGTATTCAGTTACAGTTACTGTTTCAGTGAGTGGTAATTGGATTCCAGTTACTTTGTTGAAATAAATGGATTAAACAGAGGGATTTTACTGTTTTCACATTTTGGGCTAAACCAGGTCTAAAATCAGGACTAAACCAGGACTAAACCAGGTCTAAAATCAGGACTGAACCAGGTCTAAAATCAGGACTAAACCAGGACTAAACCAGGTCTAAAATCAGGACTAAACCAGGACTAAACCAGGTCTAAACCAGGACTAAACCAGGACTAAACCAGGTCTAAACCAGGTCTAAACCAGGTCTAAACCAGGTCTAAACCAGGACTAAACCAGGTAAACCAGGACTAAACCAGGTCTAAAATCAGGACTAAACCAGGACTAAACCAGGTCTAAAATCAGGACTAAACCAGGTCTAAAATCAGGACTAAACCAGGACTAAACAGGACTAAAATCAGGACTAAACCAGGTCTAAAATCAGGACTAAACCAGGTCTAAATCAGGACTAAACCAGGTCTAAACCAGGTCTAAACCAGGACTAAACCAGGTCTAAACCAGGACTAAACCAGGTCTAAAACCAGGACTAAACCAGGTCTAAACCAGGACTAAACCAGGTCTAAACAATGACATTAACAGTAGGTGGACAGACTTTAAAGCAGCAGTGATCTCATATAAACATTTCTTCTATCAATAATATTTTTAATTTGGTTCAGTAAAGTCTGTTTTTTTTTTTTTTTTTTTTTTTATGTTTTCCAGACTTTTTTTTCTGGGGACCCATATTTTAAAAGTCACAAATCTTCATGACCCAAGTCCATAGACATTTTATTTGTAAATCTCAAAATAAATTTGTGACCATTATTGAACATTAAAGAGGATATTTTATTGTTGATTCTCTAAACAATTAGAATTCTCGTATTTTCCAAAAGTGTTAAATAAAAATAAACTCTACAACAGATTTTACTCAAATAAACCCTGAAAAAATGTTCAAGTTGATTCTGTGAGAGTCGATTTTAACTCTCCACTTTTTGCCGTTTTCAGTAGATAATTAAAATTTCAGCAACTCAAATTCAGAATAAAAATAATTTCAGATTTTCAGAGGTCAAAAAATTCAAAGTGAGAAATTTAGCGATATTTCTAATTCTAAATCTGATTAAATAAATTATCTTCCATAAATTCCTCAACGTCTCTGCTGCTGATCCTGAATCATCTGTCAAATATTTTTGGTACAAAGGAAATAATGAGTGAGTGTTTTTGTCTGAGCATCAATGAGCACGACACAAATCCCGCAGTGGAGCTTTATTCACATTCAGATCACATCCACATAAAGTAAAAACATAAACACAACAGCTCAGGGATAAAAGGAATGTCCAGAGTTTATGAAGCAAATCTGGAAAAGAAAAGAGACACAACGTGACAGATACAAGAAAAATCTACAAAAAAAAAAATAATAATAAAAAATTAGAGTTTTATATATAATTATGACACACTTCCGGTTTATAAAATATATAAAGTGGTGATTTCCTTAAAACATTCGAGCTAAAAGTGCAGAGCAGCGAATCAGACAGAAGATCCAGAAGAACGAGAAGCTTCAACACGACGTTACACAACAGAAACAGAGACGTTTGATCAGAGCCTCGTCTCCTCCATGTTCATGTGGAGGATTTACAGATGATTTTATAGATGATTTTAAAGATGATTTTATAGTTTTATAGATGATTTTATAGATGATGTTTTAGAGACACTGATAAACTCTGCAGCTCTGATTGTGTGTGTGTGTGTTTGTGTGTTGTGTGTGTGTGTGTGTGTGTGTGTGTGTGTGTTTGTGTTTGTGTTTGTGTGTGTGTGTGTGTGTGTTTGTGTGTGTGTGTGTGTGTGTGTGTGTGTGTGTGTGTGTGTGTGTGTGTGTGTGTGTGTTTGGAGTGAAAGATCAAATATTCAGTTTATTTACAAAAATGATGTTTATACACACACACACACACTCCTCCTCCTCCGTCCTCAGGCAGAGTGCACACACACAAACATCTTCTCGTGCTCCTCCCAGTAGTGCAGCTCAGGGCTGAAGCTGAAGGCACAGGCCAGATCTTTGGTCTTGATGGTGTGGACCACACAGTCTCCGGGCAGATCCTCGAAGAGCAGCTCTGCCGTGGACTTCACGGAGATCTTCTTCTGGCTCTCGATGATCTGAGAGACTCGTCCTCTGTCCACGGGCTCCGGGGACGAGCTGTAGGACACCACCACGTTCAGGCCGTCGTCGGAGCTCGGCACCTGGAAGCGGCTCTTCCCTGTGGGGCAGTGGAAGTTCTTCTTATTGGCCAGAAGACCTTTGGGGGAGCGGAAGACCCTGACGGACCAGGACACCCAGTCGTACCTCTCCTTGAGCTTGTCCAGGATGGCCTGGGCGAGCTCCTGGCAGGTCAGGCCCGGCTGGTCGCGCACCAGCCTCCGAGAGTCCTGCTCGGCCAGTTTGGGGAAGCTGTCGATGCAGTCCTGGATCAGCGCGTCCATCCTCTTCTGCACGTTCTTCATCTTCTCGCTCCACTCCTGCAGGATCTTCTCCTCCTCTCCATAGTCTTTGAGCGCCGCGTGGCCCACGAGAGCGATCAGACCTACACAGAAGAGCTTCTTCATGCGTGCACAGAAGACCTCCATGACCCTGCGGTTCTTCTCCTCGTAGTTCATGACGATCTCCAGCACAGACTCTCCTGAGAAGTTGTCTCCAGTCACGGCGTTGTACAGCGTGTGCAGGTTCTTATCTCCTCCGGTTTTGGAGAAGTGATCCAGGAACTGCTTCTTCTTGGCCTCCTTGAACTTGGGCTTGGCGTTGAGGATGTCCATGTACTTCCTGAACTGGTTGGTGATGTTCTCCTCCACAGAGAAGTAGGCGGCGTCCACCCCGCTCCTCTTGACCTCGTCGTTGATGCGCTTGACCTGCTCGGACACCACCTCCAGACGCTCGCGGACCTTCTGGAACTGCTCCTTCATGTAGGTGGCCTCTTTGCTCTCCACGTTGTCCAGGGCCAGTTTGACGATGGGCGCGGCGATGGAGAACACGGGGAAGATGTCTCCGGCGATGCTGGCCACCAGCTCGGCCCCCTGCTCAAACACCTCCATGATGTTCTCCACCATGTCCTTCTTATCGGCCACCACCTTCTGCAGCTGCTCCGCCATGTCTGCTGGAGAAGGACGGAGGAGTTAGAAAGCAGGATCCTTCCCTCGTGTGAATGTTGTGCTGAAGTGTCTCGCTGCAGGTTTGAGGAACTTCTTCTGCTGAACCTACAGTGGGACACTTCCAGCTGATTACAAATGTCAGCAGGTGTTCGTGTGCAGTGTCGGGAAGTTTTACTTTTAAAATGTAATCCCCTACAGATTACAGATTACACACACCAAAATGTACTTTGTAACAGAATCCATTAAATTACTTAAAGTGAGTAATGTAATCTGATTACTTTGGATTACTTGATTTGTTGCAGAGAATCAAAGACGAGGAAATCTTCACATAAGAAGTTTTGTCTGATAAAAGAAAATAAAAAGTCCAAGACTTTACTGAACCAAATTAAAAATATTATTGATAGAAGAAGAAGAAACACGTCCACACAGCAGGATTGTGTGTGTGTGTGTGTGTGTGTGTGTGTGTGTGTGTGTGTGTGTGTGTGTGTGTGTGTGTGTGTGTGTGTGTGTGTGTGTAGAGACGTACTTGTGTTGTGTGTGGTCGTTTAGAGCTTGTGGTCGTCTCTGGTTCTTCGCAGACGCTCCTGTGGACAGAGAAGAAACGATTGGCCCCGTCCTCTCCAAGACACACACACACACACACACACACACAGACACACACACACACACAGACACACACAGACACACAGACACACACAGACAGACACACACACACACACACACACACACAGACACACACACACACACACACACACACACACTCCCAGAGCCTACTGTCAATATGTACTCTCAAAAAGTAGTCTCAGAATGTACTTTTAAAACATACTGTCAATATTTACTCTTAAAATGTACTCTCAGAAAGTACTCTGAAAATATACTCTTCAAATGTACTCTCAATATGTACTCTCAAAAATACTCTCAAAAAAGTACTCTTAAAATGTGTTATCAATGTCCATCCATCCATGTTCTTCTTCTTCTCTGGGGTCGGGTCTCGGGGGCATCAGTTTAAACAGGGACTCCCAGACTTCCTTCACCCCAGACACTTCCTCCAGCTCCTCCAGTGGGACCTGAGGTGTTCCCAGTCCAGTCCAGAGACATCGTCCCTCCAGTGTGTCCTGGGTCTTCTCCTCCTCCCGCTGGGACATGAACACCTCCTGAGGGACACGTCCAGGAGGCATCAGAACAGACGTCCTCCCCTCAGACGCTCCTCTCCACGTGGAGGAGCAGCGGCTCTACTCCGAGCTCCTCACTCTGTCTCTCAGGGAGACGCCCGGACGCCCAGCGGAGGAAACTCATCTGTGTCGCTTGTATCGTGGATCTGGTCCTTTCGGTCGCTCATGTCTGTACTATCAATATGTACTTTTAAAATGTACTATCAAAGTGTACTCTCAAAAAATACTCTAATTAGAAAGTACTCTTAAAATGTACGCTCAGAATGCAGTGGGCACGGAGCCGTTGTGGGCACGGAGCCGTTGTGGCACGGAGCCGTTGTGGGCACGGAGCCGTTGTGGGCACGGAGCCGTTGTGGGCACGGAGCCGTTGTGGGCACGGAGCCGCAGCTGTCGGCTCTGGTCGTCGTCATAAAGCTTCATTAGGCAGAGTGCAGCTGTATTGATCAGCTGAGTGGAGACGCTGAGACGCTGGACTCGTTCATCACAGCAGCAGCAGCTCTGAATATGAAGATGTTTATGGATGAAGCTCGTTCCCGTTTCTGACGCATCAGCGGAAACGTGACCAGGTTAAACACGCTGCTTTAGTGCAGACGGACGGTTACTGTACCACATAAATTATTATTATTCAAGAGGCAGGATGGAGCGTCTTAAAGGACCAATATTACTCTATTTTCTATTTTCTCATTTGTTCTGACGTCGTTTCCTCGTCACACACAGATCTGCAGATGTGTTTTGTTTCATTCACACGTTTGACAATAAACCTGCACATTTAGCACAAGTTCTTCTCTCAAACCTTGCAATTTCTATTCTGGTTCTGTCCAGGCCCAGATGAGCTGGAGCTGGGAGTGAGAACCAAGAGCATGAAGAACGGACGCTCAGAACAACATATAACCAACCAAACTGGACTCACGCTTCTGTCCAGATGTTTTACACCACCTCAGAACCAGCTCCTCCAGCACAGAGGACAGGAGCAACCCGCCCGGACCTGAAGTCCACAGCACATTCTTGCTTTTGCCACACAGGTCCAGTGTGCAGAGGACGGCACAGATCAGCACAGACCCGCTCGGACCAGTCCACTGTGCACTGGTCTGGAACCAGAACATGGAGGACAGAGCCTCCAGACCATCTGACCAACGCACTCAGAGGACGACACAAGACCAAAGACCAGACCCCAGCCTCGTCCTGAGGAGCACGACGCTGAGTGTCCTGGGTCTTTAACGCTGTTGCCCAAACTCAGAGCTTCTGCTCTGGGCTGATGTGGTGAGTTTGTACAAAGTTCTTCACGCTGCTGATTTATGAGTTCATGGTGAGAACTTGAGATGAGGACGGGCCACGGTTTTAATGAGGAACATCAGTACTTTTCACAGTTGGAGGTAGCGACGTTTCCCAGAGGAACAGAGGAGCTGAGGAACGTCAGGTTGACCCCAAAATGTGAACTTATTTCTACCTGAAGATAAACATTCACGAAATGTCAATCGGACCAGTTTTGGTTAGTTTATTTTCTACATAATAACAGTTTCATTGGCTGGTGTGGATCAAATAATCAAACTGGTGGTGTGAAAAAGTGTTTCTAAAAAATAAACTAATCACTATTTTAATTTCCTTTACACCCCAACCCGACATAACCCAATCCAATCATGTGCTGTGAGTTTAGTTGCAGATCCATGTATTTTTATGAGAACTTTTCCAAAACAGAATCGTACAAAACAAACGTTGGGCCTTTTTCTTCTCCGTGTTTGGAATGTTGTTTTAGGAATTTGCCCTTTGCCCTTTTCAGTCTCCCCGGTGGATTTCGAGTCTGTCCTGAGGATCAGACCAGACGGAGACGCAGAACCAAACCAGTCGCTTTTTCCACTGAAACCTGGAACTACGACGACCAAACGAAAACCTGTGTGTTTACGAGAAGATCTGAAAAGATCCTGAAGACGACAGACGTGTCCTTCAGTCAGGAGAGTACACAGAGTACACAGAGTACACGAGAGTACGCAGAGTACACGAGAGTACGCAGAGTACACGAGAGTACACAGAGTACACGAGAGTACACAGAGTACACGAGAGTACGCAGAGTACACGAGAGTACGCAGAGTACACGAGAGTACACAGAGTACACGAGAGTACGCAGAGTACACGAGAGTACACGAGAGTACACAGAGTACACAGAGTACACGAGAGTACACAGAGTAATCCACTTCACAATAATTTAATCTGTGTTTGATTTTACGCCAAGAAGAGTCGAGAAGCAGAGGGAGGAGCCAGCGAGGATGAGGACGATGAAGACGACACGGGGAGGACGGAGGGGGACAGAGGGAGGACAGAGGACAGAGGACAGAGGACAGAGGACAGAGGACAGAGACAGAGGACAGAGGACAGAGGGACAGAGGACAGAGGACAGAGGACAGAGGACAGAGGGACAGAGGACAGAGGACAGAGGGACAGGACAGAGGACAGAGACAGAGGACAGAGGACAGAGGACAGAGGGACAGAGGGACAGAGGGACAGAGGACAGAGGACAGATGACAGAGGACAGGGACAGAGGACAGAGGACAGGACAGAGGACAGAGGACAGAGGAGAGAGGGACAGAGGACAGAGGACAGAGGACAGAGGAGAGAGGGACAGAGGACAGAGGACAGAGGACAGAGGACAGAGGACAGAGGGACAGAGGACAGAGGACAGGAGAGTGGACGAGACTTTGGAGAAGGACTGAAGAGAGTCTCCAGGGGACGAGGACAACATGATGAAGACAGAGGAGCACAGAGACTCAATCATGGACCAATCTGGGACTGAACCAGGACTGAACCAGGACTGAACCAGGACTGAACCAGGACTGAACCAGGACTGAACCAGGACTGAGGACCAGGGACCAGGACTGACCAGGACTGAACCAGGACTGAAACAGGCTGAACCAGGACTGAACCAGGACTGAACCAGGACTGGACCAGGACTGGACCAGGGACCAGGACTGAACCAGGACTGAACCAGGACTGGACCAGGACTGAACCAGGACTGAACCAGGACTGAACCAGGACTGAACCAGGACTGAACCAGGACTGAACCAGGACTAGAGGTCAGGGTAAAATATAGTTTTTAACACAAAAAGTGTTATTTTAGTTAAGTTAATTCAACTTCTCCTAGTGTTAATTTGGCAACTCCCACCATCACTTCAAACTCCCGCCAGAGTTTGAACCAGTTTGAGTGTAAAAATAAACTCCTCTGCACTCGAAGACAGAATGTGTTGTTTTCTTACACATTTAATGTGTAGAAAGACAAATAACAAATGTTGTGTCAGTTTCTGCAAATAAAGTGTTGTATGATTTCACTTCTACAGAAATCCCTCAGAATATGGACAATATTATTCTCTCTTTTCATTTTCTTTGCACAATTTTATTTACACCAACCCGGGTGAGTCTAAAAAGTGTTTAAATCGAGTTAGAAAAGTTGGTATCGTGACATTATTTCATCCTCGTTACGTCGTCGTCTTTATGTTTCTCTTCCTTTGTCCATTTTGTCCACTTAAGTCTCCAACCGTCCAATAAATCCAGACAGACAGAAATCCTCTCTGACCGCTCCGCCCGACCACACACACACACACACACACGCACGCACGCACGCACACACACACACACACACACACACACACACACACAGCACAAAACCAGGCGCGGTGTTAATGTGAGTCTGATGGGAAACGTATCGACCCGAGCTGAGGAAAAACGACTTTAGAGCTCGTGCGGACGCCAACAAACACGTCTACACACACCGCAACACAACAACACAACAACACACAACACTACACACTACAACATACCACAACACAACAAACACGTCTACACACACCGCAACACACAACAACACACTACAACATACCACAACACAACATAACACCACAAACACATCCACACACACCGCAACACAACAACACACAACACTACACACTACAACATACCACAACACACAAACACGTCCACACACACCGCAACACAACAGCACAACAACACACAACAACACACAACACTACACACTACAACATACCACAACACCAACAAACACGTCCACACACACCGCAACACAACAACACACAACACTACACACTACAACATACCACAACACAACAAACACGTCCTCAAGCACCACAGTAGAACACAACAACACAACAACACAACTCTAACCTACACAACACAACACAACTGTTTCTCTGTGAAGTTGACTCCATCAAACACAAACTTACAGAAAAAACTATTTCTACCGTCGTTTTGTGCTGCAAAACGTTTGGTTTGTGCTGTTTTAGTTTTGGAGATTTGAATGATTCTTGAACAGGTCAAACTGGAGTCAGACGCGGCTCTAAAACAACACAAAATAGAGTCAGTCGTTTGTGTTTCATTTGTGCTGTAAAAGTTCAGTTTGTGTGATTCTGGTTCTTAAAATATTCACAGTTTTATTTTGGTTCGATGACGTCGTCCAGCCTCAAAACAACAGAAAATTAAACCAAACATTTGTATTTGGTTTGTGCTGTTTTGTGTGTGACTGTTTATTTCTAAAATTATTCATTATATTTTTTGTGTAAATTATATTTTGGTCATTTCCATTCAGCTGACGACAGCGACAAAACTCATGAAGAGAATCGACCTGAATCTGTGGAAAAGTCTGGATCTTTAGTCATTTGCTTTTTATTCATATTTTTATAATAACTCAGACTTTTCCACAGACTCGGGTTCGTTCTCTTCACGTGTTTTGTTAAAGTCGCTGTCGTCAGCTGAACGGGAATGACCTCATATAATCTCCACATAAATAATAATGAATCATTTTAGAAATAAACTCACACAAATGAAAACAGTCACAAAAAAAACAGTTAAGATAAGATTTAAGACTCTTTTTTCTGCTCTTTTTCATTCATTTCTTGTATATTTGATGTTGTGACACTGTTGATGTCTTTTTATACTTAATGAATGAAATAAATAAACAAATAAATAAATAAAATGTTCTGTTGTTTTGAGGCTGTTTCACATTTTGACTCATGAACCCAAAATAAAACTGAATATTTGAAGAACCAGAATCACACAAACTGAACTTTTTGCAGCTCAAACGAAACACAAACGATTGACTCTATTTTGTGTTTTTTATTTCATTTTGAAGTTTCCTGGAGGCTGTTTGACCCCAATTTGACCTGTAAAAGAATCATTAATATAAAACCGTAGAATTTGCCGTGTTGTTTGTGCACATGGACCGTGACCTTTGACCTCATCTCATGTTATAAACTGGACTGGTCTGTTTGGTTCTGGGTCTTTTGGACTTGTTCTCAGTCGATAAACAGAGAGACACGTTTGTCTTTCTTCTCCAAATTAGGGACGGGCATTCGATTATCGATTAATCATGAACGTTTTTATATTAAAATGATCATCATTATTATTACTATCTGCACTAATCTGCATAAATAAATTCAACTTTACGACATATAAACATAACGACTCTAGATCCACATCAGCTGTTTGACATTATAATGTGTTTAATTCAGTTTTGTTCAAATCTCACAGAAACAAAACTTAAAACCACATCACTAATTTACATAAACTAAGTGAAGATAAAACTCCAGCTCTTGTGTCGCTGATGTGGTTCAACTTGTGTTGGATTAAAAGACATGACTCAGGTGAATACAGGTCAGTGTGACCAGATTTGTGTTTGTCAAAACCAGGACAGCGTACGGGGGGAGGGGGGCGGGGCCTCGTCATCCACATTGAGCGACTCTCACCTGGAAAAACTTTTTCCCACTGGACACAGAAACATATGTGCTGCTTTATCCACTGTGCACATGGACTCACACTTGTCCCAACGCAACGGAAAGTGTGGAATTTCTTCTACAAATCCTGGTTAAATCCACATTTGTGCTTCGGTTCGTTACAGACTGACCCACTGTTTGTGTCTCGCTCCTTCTGATGCAGAGACACATGTACACACCTGTTTGGTCACGACACACAAACATACATTCAGTTTGTCCATTAAAATCAACGGAATCAATGAAATTCTTAATGATCAATTATCGATTAATCGACTAATCCTGCCCATCCCTAGAACAAATATTCCTTCTCTAATTCTCTGTTAATTTGATCTGCTACAACAGGATCTCCAACATTTTTCCTCCAGTGAGATACTTTTACAAAAACAAAACACCAAAGTCAGAGTGACCAGATTTTCAAGATTCCAAACTGCGACACGACTTTTACAGTTTATAAACTCATCGTCATTCGGACGATCTGAACACATCAGGTCAATCTGGACGAAAACGCAAACTGCTTCAGATGAGCTGGTTCTGTTTTTTCTCGTTTAAAAGAGTCAGGCCCTGCTCCTGTAAAAGCCAGCCCCCCCTCCTGAGCCGCAGCAGAGTGTGGAGCTGCGTCTGTCCCTGTGGTCAGAGCTCCTGTGTCCAGCTCACGAGCGCTTTAATGGACTAATATGATTTGACCACCGCTCCTGAATCCTGCTCCAACATCTCTCCCTCTCCTCCTCTCCTCTCTCTCCTCTCTCCTCACTCTCTCCTCTCCTCTTCCTCTCTTCTCTCCTCTCCTCCTCTCCTCTCCTCTCCTCTCTCTCCTCTCTCCTCTCTCCTCCTCTCTCCTCTCTCCTCTCCTCTCCCTCTCTCCTCACTCCTCTCCTCTCTCCTCTCTCCTCTCCTCTCCTCCTCCTCTTCCTCTCTCTCTCCTCTCCTCTCCTCACTCTCTCTCCTCCCTCCTCTCTCCTCTCCTCTCTCCTCTCCTCTCTCCTCCTCATCCTCTCCTCTCTCCTCTCTCTCCTCATCTCCTCTCTCCTCTCTCTCTCTCTCTCCTCTCTCTCTCTCTCCTCTCTCCTCTTCCTCTCTCCTGTCTCCTCTCTCCTCTTCTCCTCTCCTCTCTCCTCATTCCTCTCTCTCCTCTCCTTCTCTCCTCATTCCTCTCTCCTCTTTCTTCTCTCTCTCTTCCTCTCTCCTCTTTCCTCTCTCCTCTCCTCTCCTGTCTCCTGTCTCCTCTCTCCTCCAAAACTGTAATAATCCTGTTTTAGTCCTGTTTTAGACCTGATCTAGACTTGGTTTAGTCCCGGTTTAGATCAGAATGGTCAAAAACAGAAACATTTGAGACATTTTTTTTTTTTTTGTATAAAATTGGGACACATCAGTGGTTTTTGGTTCAATCTGCTGGGACAGGAGACACAGACTCAAAACTGGGACTGTCCCAGGAAAACAGGGACGTTGGTCTGGACTCTCTATTCAGCGTCACAAGAAAGTTTGATATATTTATAAAACACAAACCTTTATCCGTGTTTTAGTGCACAGAGTTTGGCATTAATGAGTTGGAAATCTTTGGCGAGTTCCTGGGAAGAGGGTGGAGCCTCTTGAGCCACAGTTTCTCCAAAACTAAAGCAGCACAAACGAATTTTTCGCAGCACAAACGACTGACATTTAGTTTTTGTGCAGGTTTGTGTTTATCGGGGGCAAACTTCACTTCAGCCCTTTAACTCGAGCACAGAGAGACAGAGTGAGGGAGTCGGTGCGTGCGTTACGTCGCTTCGCACTTCCTGGAGAGAAGTTTGATCGGTGACGCACAGTTTGGAAACCAACGCCCCGTGACAAAAGTTCACATTTAGATCGAAACTGTTTTTTACCGACCCACGTAACGAGACACGAGGCGAGATTGTGTTAAAATGTCATAAAACGTGATGATTCTGGGTCAGAGTGAAAGTTCTTTGAGAGTTGAACGCGGAAAAGGAGAGAAAGAGAGAGAGAAAGAGAGAGAGAGAGAGACGGAGGTTTACGCAGCAGTCCGTCGTTACGCACGGGACTCTCTTGGACACACGCGGAACACTCGCGCTTCTTTCACGTAAAGCGTGACGGTCCGGGTCAGTGTCCGGTCCCAAACTCACCTCCCGCAGCCCGAGCAGAGCCTGGACGCGCGCCGTGTCTGTGCCGTGTCCACGGGTCACGTGGTTCTCCTCAGACGAGGCCCGTGGGCGCGACGCGAGACGAGACCAAACTCCGCCCGCTGCAGAAACAGGCCGTGCGTAATGACGCACGATCCAGACCTGGTTTAGTCCTGGTTTAGACCTGGTTTAGTCCTGGTTTAGTCCTGGTTTAGTCCTGGTTTAGACCTGGTTTTAGACCTGGTTTAGTCCTGGTTTAGTCCTGGTTTAGTCCTGGTTTAGACCTGGTTTAGTCCTGGTTTAGTCCTGGTTTAGACCTGGTTTTAGACCTGGTTTAGTCCTGGTTTAGTCCTGCTTTAGTCCTGGTTTAGTCCTGGTTTAGACCTGGTTTAGTCCTGGTTTAGTCCTGGTTTAGACCTGGTTTAGTCCTGGTTTAACCTGGTTTAGTCCTGGTTTAGTCCTGGTTTAGTCCTGGTTTAGTCCTGGTTTAGTCCTGGTTTAGACCTGGTTTAGTCCTGGTTTTAGTCCTGGTTTATCCTGGTTTAGTCCTGGTTTAGACCTGGTTTAGTCCTGGTTTAGTCCTGGTTTTAGTCCTGGTTTAGTCCTGGTTTAGACCTGGTTTAGTCCTGGTTTAGACCTGGTTTAGTCCTGGTTTAGACCTGGTTTAGTCCTGGTTTAGTCCTGGTTTTAGTCCTGGTTTAGACCTGGTTTAGTCCTGGTTTAGACCTGGTTTAGTCCTGGTTTAGACCTGGTTTAGTCCTGGTTTAGTCCTGGTTTAGTCCTGGTTTAGACCTGGTTTAGTCCTGGTTTTAGTCTGGTTTAGTCCTGGTTTAGGCCTGGTTTAGACCTGGTTTAGTCCTGGTTTAGTCCTGGTTTAGTCCTGGTTTAGGTCTGTCTGTGTGTAATGGAGCAGGATCCAGTTTGGAGTTTATTCTCAGAATGTTCAAAGTTTGTGGGAGGAACATGAAGTAAACTGAGATAAACTTTCACTGATTAAAGTCTTTGTACCGGATTTTCTTCTGTCCTAAAAACACGAAAAACACAAAAAACGGTTTCATCTGAAACAGTTTGCAAAGCTCCAAAGTTCTTCCTCACTTCCCTTTTGCGTTTAGATTAATTCAGATGATCCAAATTATTCTCCATGATCAGTTTCAAAGAGTTTTTCACAGTTTTCAGAGACCAGAGCAGATCAGCAGCATGCTAACCGTGTGCTTCCTGGTTATAAGGCTTTATAATAAGATGCAGACAGAAAACAGAGGGTTTATTTTGACCTCAGGAGCTGCTGAGACCAAACGTCTGGACACGTTTTGGTCAAATACATGGAAAATAATCAGATCCAGACCTTTTAAATAATGATTTTAAGTATTTATAAAGCAGCAGGTTTTGTAGTTTCCAAAAACTAACCCAAGAAGAAAAACAGGAACTTCCAAAAAAGGACTTTCCGACCTCTGAATTTTTAAAAGTCTGGATGTTGTTTGTGAATCACCCTGGAAACGAGTCAGACCCTGAATCAGAGAAGGTCTGGTTTAGACCTGGTTTAGACCTGGTTAGACCTGGTTTAGGACTAAACCAGGACTGAAACAGGACTAATCTTAGACATTAGAGAAAGAGAGAACCCCGAGTCCGTGGAGCAGGGTGTCTGCACAGTGCGATTGGGCGACAGCTGCTCTGAGCCCCACGGGCCGTGGAGCTCTGTGCTGGTCTTTTGTGCCTGTGGTCACTCGCGTGTGTATGGACACACCTCCTGGTCCAGCCTGATCCTGGTTTGTTCCTGTTTTATTCCTGGTTCAGTCCTGGTTCAGTCCTGGTTCAGTCCTGGTTCAGTCCTGGTTCAGTCCTGGTTCAGTCCTGGTCCATCATGTTGCAGGTCACTGTTGGACACTACTGGAGACATCAGTGTTTCCTGCAGCACTTTTATAGTCAAACCGGTCGCCTTGACAACAAGTGGCTCCTGCCTTGACCACGTCTCTCCAAACCACGTGAATCCTCGCAGAAGTTTGGTCTTCACATGAATCTCCACGTCCACTCTGCTCCTCACTTCTTCTCTGTACCACAACTGAAGACCTCACTGACCTGGTTTAGTGTTTAAACCGGTTTGAATCTGGTTTAAACACTAAACTAGGTTCAGTGTTCTTGTTCAGTGTTGTCTCGTGGATCATTCCAGACAAATCCCATCTCCATGGAGACAAGCAGTTGGTGAACCCTCCACCAGAAAAGTTACACAGTGCAGCTTTAAAGGCTCTTTGCTGTTTCCTCCGTGTGTGAGGAAAGTTTTGCCTCTGCACAAATTTATTTACAGTTTTATATCAGCACAGTTGGAGCAGAGGATAAAATGGAGATAAAAACACAACAGTGAGAGTTCAACAGAACAATGACACAAAACACCTCAGTGTGTAAAAGGATTAAAAAACGCTGTGATAAAAATGCGTTAAAACTGCAGAACACGACTCCTCGTAGTTTAAAGTGTTTATAATAAATGAAACGTCTCACCTGTGAAACTCTGTTCTCCGTCTGTAAACGTCCAAAACATCTGTTATTTTTATGTTTTTAATGAAGTTTGTCCCTCCATTTTACCCAGAGCAGTTAAGGGTTTGTTTACCTGTTGCTACGGCGACAGGCGCAGAGCAGTGATACAGAACTGTGATTTGTCTGTTGCCGGAACTACTTGTGCATTATACAGGATTAATGACGGATCTATAATAAAATAATAATAATAATAATAAATAATATAATATATATATATATATATATATATATAATAATAAATATAATAAATAATAATAATACATACATACATACATAAAATAAATAAATAAAACCTGGATAAGCCCCTCCCCCTCTGTCTGTGTCTCTAGTGGACGCTCCAGGTACTGCAGGATTCTCCCACAAAGGCAATGCATGATGGGAATTCAACCTGCCCGTGTTGTTCTTCTGTAGAGAGTCCCACATGTCCCTGTTTCCCCGGGACAGTCCCAGTTTTGAGTCTGTGTCTCTGTCCCACAGATTTATACAAAACCACTGATTTGTCCCAGTTTTATATAAATATAAATGTCCCAGTGTCTTCTGTTTTTGACTAATCTGATCGTGCAACAGTAAAGAGACACAAAAACTGTCATTTGTTTAGGTGAATTACAGAAAATCTGCTTAAAAACGACCAAAACATGAAGAAAATGTGACTAAACCAACTCGTGTTTTGAATAAGTCTTGACTGAGCCGAGTGCAGAACAAACCTCCTTCGTCACAAACTCGTTTAACAATTTAATTATTATTAAACCGAGAATGTCACAGTTTTTGATTTTGAAATTCTGGTCAGTCTATCAAAGATCCTAAAGTGTCTTTGTCAGACTGAACCTCGTCGCTCTGAGTCGCTCTGATTGGTCCAAACGCTCCTCCCGCGCACGTTACGGACGCCGCGCACGTTACGGACGCCGCGCACGTTACGGACGCCGCGCACGTTACGGACGTCACACGGTGGGAGGAGCTCGCCCGGATTCAGGAAGTAAATGCAGAAGAGAAAGTTATTTTTGGGCCCCTGAGCTGATGACACAGACCCTGAAAACAACACGACGCATCTCGAGTTCAACAAAGTTTGATTAGAGTTTTGTGGTTTTAAAGCTGCGTTTGTTTATCCGTCCGTCTCCTGTGACGTCACGTCCACACCTCAACTCTTTTATTTTCCCTGCATTCGATTTTCCTTCTGGATCAGTTTTTCTGAGGAAGTTGCCGAGGGACACACTTGACACGCCTCTTTTCCTGGGACGACATGACTCGGACGTCAGTGGCGGAAAAAGTCGATCGAGCAACGATTCCGAGTCAGAATCCAAGAGGCTCCACCCACTGTGACGTGTAAATCTGAAGTGTTTTTGTTGTGTTTGGAAACTTTGGTAAAAGTGCAGAAATTAAAAATTAAAAATTTAAATAAATTAAAGAGTGTTTTCATAAGATGAGGGAAAAGTCATGATCATAATCCACGTATCCAACACGACAAACAGAAGAAAACACTTCAAACTCGAACGTGACGTCAAATCTGAGATCCAAGTGAGAGTCGCAGGAACGTCAGTTTCGCATTTCCAACTCGGAGAAAAACATGGACACAGTAAAGTGCTGCAGTGATACGAGCGACTGAAACTGCCATTTAAACACCAAGACACAATGAAAATACTTCATACTTAAAAGTGACACTGGGCTCAGTCGTCTTGATTCTATCGCAGGATCTTTGCTCGTTCGTTTTCCTCTGAGTTTTTTTCCAAGTTTCGTGTCAGTGTGACTCAGCGACGTCCTTGGACCTGCGATGGACAAACGAACACATCATAACGTACTGTAGTTAGACATGGGGATTCCAGCAGACTGTAGTATGATGTATTATAAGGTATTTGTGAACCAGGAAGTGCACTGTTAGTATGCTAGTTGTTTGATTTACAGTTTATAAACTCGTGGTGAATAATTCGCACACTCTGACCACTGCTTCAGATGAGCTGGTTCTGTTTTTTCTCGTTTAAAAGAGTCAGGCCCTGCTCCTGTAAAAGCCAGCCCCCCCTCCTGAGCCGCAGCAGAGTGTGGAGCTGCGTCTGTCCCTGTGGTCAGAGCTCCTGTGTCCAGCTCACGAGCGCTTTAATGGACTAATATGATTTGACCACCGCTCCTGAATCCTGCTCCAACATCTCTCCTCCCTCCTCTTCTCTCTCTCTCTTTCTCTCTCTCCTCTTTCTCTCTCCTCTTTCTTCTCTCTTTCTCTCTCTTTCTCTCTCTCCTCTTTCTCTCTCAGTCGTGGGGCCGTCGTTCGGACTGGAGCCAGACCTCCGCTCCTTTCCTCCGGAAAATCCAATCTCGCTCCATCCTTTGGTCCATTACCTGGGCTTTTGTGCTCCCTCGCTTTCTCATTTTACAGAGAAAAACTGCACAATACACTGACTACAGAGAAAGAAAGAAAGAAAGAAAGAGGGAGAGAGAAGAAGGAAGGAGGAAGAGAGGGCAGAAGAGAGAGAAGAAAAAGGAGGAGAAGAGAGAGGAGAGGAGGGAGATGAATGAGGAAGAGAGCCAAGAGCCTCATTATCTATTTTATATATATATATATTTTTTTTGCTCATGGGGCAATTTTTTTTGC